TTATTACTTCCTTTAGCCAGCTCTATGTGTTTGTTACAGGGGATAGTTAAAGTAGTTAACTTTGTTAGATACATGACATATTATGTTCAGCATATTTTATTTTTATTACATTTAACAGTGTTACATTTTCATGGGCAGTTCAGGTATTATATTTATTTTTTGGTATCTTCACAGATGGTAATATAGAAAATTAATTCTGACAGCAGTAACTGTATGCAAACATGGTAATAACTCACACAATAGGTTATAGGAGTGCTCAAAGCAAAAAAAACAACAACAACTAATAAACACTTTTAATAGAAAATACTATTTGACACTTTTAAGTATTATGTGATATCCATGTGAATCTATTCAGATGGGTAAGAAAAAATACCAAAATAAGTGATATAGAGAAAAAGAATCTAAACAAAACTCTTATTTGTTTTTAATTTTATCTTACTTTATATTTGTTTTATTTCTGGCCAAATGTTTTCATGACATAATTTTTTGAAGTTGGATGCAAAATATTTTGCACCCAAAAATGGTAACTGCTTCTAAGTTTAACCTGTATTACCTCCACTTCATAAATAACAGTTTTTGGTTGTACTACGAGAAAATTACTGCCAGAAATTTGACAATTTAAACAGTAACATGTGTCAAATACAGATATCACTCTCCTGTAGGGATGGCTTAATGAGTTTTCTTTGGCCAAAAGACATGACAGGTAGGAATGAAGAAAACAAGAATGTTATACTAAATTCATGTTTTCAGGTCTTTGTTTTACTTTGATTTTCAGAGTTTTTTGTTTTTTTATCATTGCTCATCTCCAATAGTATCTATATTGTTGGACTTCCTTCTTTAGATGGGTTACCAGATGTACTTTCCTTTCCATGTTTTGTGGTCTTATTCTCTAATAGTTTCTAATAGTTTGTTAGATTTTTCTGAATTAAACTCATTTGTGCTACTTTATATATAAAGGTGCTGACTTATCATGAACTTTAACTTTCTTTATCCATATCATAAATTACCAAGCTAACAAGACATGTCTAAATGAAAATAAGTAAAAAAGTTTATAATTCACACCATATGTTATTATACCCATCGTAAATACAATATTAACTGAAAAAAGCTAGCACAATTATAATCCACACCACCATTCATGTTATGTTGACCTAACACCAATAAAAATAACCCAACTTGAAATATAACAACATCTGAAGACATTTATATTATACAATACCAATCCTGTGAGGAAAGTTATGTAGGTAAAACTGGATGAAGCATTAACAAGAGTGTTTCTGAACATAACAAAAAATAGACATTAAATACAGAAACACGAACAAAGACTTTTTTTACTCATATGAAAGATTCTGGCCATCAAATCAAATGTAAATCAACAAGAATTGTATACAAAATGAATAACTATGTAAAAAAAGATTTGTCAAATATAGTTTAATCAAAAGTGTGCCTAATTTCAACATCTCTCAAAAGGTAATTTTACGTTAAACAGCTTCCTGACCTGCTGTGTCCTTAAACAAATTCAAAGTTTCAGGATCACATAGGCACTGAGGACCAGTTTTCCAGACAGAAGACAACTTGAGAATGAAGAGGATGTACCAATGTGTTGAAACTAGTTTCTCTAATATCAAAACTTCTGACAGTTTGTACCATTTACTGTGGTTTTTCACTAATTATGCTACCATTCAAATCATGTGACCACACTACATATATTATTACATGTGGAAGTTCTTGATACAACAACTATTAGATCAGTACAGCAGCATACTGCATATGCACATTGTAGGGTTTAATGGGGAAGGCAAATGCTCCCACTAACTCGGCTCTTCTTAGATGTAATTATCAGATGCAAAGTTAGCTGTGGTCAAATGCTTATCTTTACTATGTCATTATCTGATCCTTTATGCTTTAAACATTATATACATGTTTATATTTATATATATTACGCTTTCTCACAGGATTGGTATGGTATAATATTATGCTTTAAACAATATATATATATATATATATATACATATAGCTTGGTTACTTTTAGGTATGATGACTTATTACCAAGGTATGGTACAAAAATCAGGAACGTCCCTAAATTAAAAATACATTACATTTCCAGAAACTTCAGACATCACACATTAGTTCAATGAAACATACAAGTTTAAATTAGCCAACTGTAGATTTTTCTGTGCAAGGTGTTTTCAATAAACAATTCTGTAACTGTAGACAACTAATTATCCATAAGTTTTAATAAATATAAATCAAACAATTTCTAAAATATGATAATATTTGATAATATGTATATATGACTGTTTAATTAAGCTTACTGAAACCATGAGTGAAATTCTCAATAAAAAAATTACAGATACTCAGCTGGGTGAAGTGGACATGTTTTTGAAAAAAAAATCTATGTGTAAACATAAAAAACAACAAAGCAGCTCAAATAAGTCCCACCTTAAAAAATAAGTTCCCGTACTCAGTACTGGTGAGTACTGGTATAATTTCACCTCAGACTAAAATCATTATAAAAAAATACAAATTTTACCTCAGCATAGAGTGATTAACTAAAAATACTACTATTTAAAATTTCTTACTCATTCCCAGACAGTGATTTAATTTTAATTCATAATTGTTTTAATTACTTAAAGTATTGCTATCATTTCTAACTGGGAAACAATGACAACTACTTTATCCTCATCTCCATCAATGTTCAAGCACAGTTACAGAATAAAATTTACATGAAACTCTAGGCTACAATGTGATAGCTTTTAAGCATAACAATCAAAGTAATATTCAACCACATTTAGAGATTTAAATGTTTCATCATCAAAGCCACCAAATACAAAGAACTGAAACTGTAATCCCTGCTTCCAGTCTTAAAACAAAATTTTACACTTTAAACCCCATTAATACAGTACTGCTTTAAGAAACTACAGTTACTTTAGCATCAAAATAAGTATTTAAAATACATTACACCACATAAATATGTATTAAAGTAAAATGCTTGACACAGAATTCACATTTTTTAAACAGATTTCAATCAAATAATAGACTAGACAACCATGTAATGGCAATTACAACATGGCTTTATCTAATAGCTGAGGTAAGTAAAAGAAGGAAATACTAGTGAAAGATCATTACACATCATAATGTTATGCAGGTTTTAGTATATCCCAAAAATTATGACCAGTGTTTCATTAATATGTTTTCATTGGTAATAAATGCTTTGTGATTCACAACAATGATATAAATGTATTTGAAAATTTAAAAAAACAATATCTGCTGACAATTCATTAGGTCTTAAACTCATTTTATAACTCCATGATCAACTGCTTTACACTTGAGACTTCATATTATTCTGACTGTCACACAAATCTCTAAGTTTAATAGCTTAGTATACTTAAAAAGATACAGTATGCTGTTTATTAGTCAAATTAGTTATGTGGTAATATTTAACATTCTCAGAGACACTGAGAACCAAAATAGTGAAAATATTAATCCAATATCGTTCAGTAAACATTCACAAAGATTAACCATTAAAATGTAATAACAAAGAGAAAAGAACACGCACACACACTACTTAAATTTAGATATAAAAGGACCACAAAACATACTGTAGTCTAGATCTGAGATTAAATTCACAAATTAAATAATCAATATAAAACTCTTATCTTATAATTATTTGACAATAAAAATGTTTAGTAATATCAAGTCTGCATTATTGTACATAGTAACGTTTTTTCAGACAAATCTTAATATGATAAAGCCTAGACATTTATATTTTGATATCTCCAATAACAGAAAGAAAATGCACTTTGTGAACTATTATTAAGTACAATCATACATATCAGCATTTACTTACATCCACGTATACTTCCAAAAAGATCCTTGGAGTTTCTTTTGTCACATGCAATATTCTCAAAATATGCACTTACAAAACTGGCCTTATCTCACACAGGTTTGTATATAGCTATTCCAGTGACCAAAATATAGCCAGCAGGCTACTCCTAGCTTAGTGCACTGGTAATAATAGAGACAGATAAGTAGAGCCTACTACCCTTAATAAAGCTCTTACAGCAACTGCATCTATTGTTGGTACAAACAATGTGCTAAACACATGAATCAGATACAAAGATGTAATTCAAATTTTGTTTCATTATGACAGGTTTGGAAAAACAAAGATATATTATTGTAGTATATAAAAAGGTTGCAACTTATAAAACAAAGGGAATTATAAACAATATTCTTACCAAAAAAACTATATCTATATTTTCTAATGTTTAAAAATTTCCAATATGACAACTCATTATGGCTTTGCTGCTAACAAACAACTAACTAGAAGGATATAAAAAAAACACAGAATGATAAGATTTCAAAAGGACAAGACAAATGTAACAGGTTTATTAGCCCTTTTATACACCAGAAATTCAAAGCATGGCCACAACAGAAGAATATATATATGGCATATATTTTTAGTTCAGGGGATGCTAAGAGACTCTCACAATCAATGTTCAAACAAGTACTCTGTACATGTACGATACACATGAAAATCAGTCTCAGAGAAAGCTCAAATTAAAAATATGAGCAGACAGATATACAGTAAACTTTCACTTCTCCATTCATATTGTCTAATAATGACTATTTCAATTGTTGGTATACAGACACATTATATTATATATATATATATATATACACATATTTGATAAATACTTATCAATATTTGGCAATAATATGCTCTCAATCCTTGACAAAGTTTAAACACTTAGAAGTTCACAAAAAATATGTGCAGTTTAAGATATTTTAGCATGAATATAGCAACTTCACTTTAAGATAAAATTACATTGAACAAATGTTTCATTTTCTTATAATTATTTAAAAATTATGAGAAAATTCAAAGTATTATTCAGTTTTACTTCTCTATGGTGATTATTATTTACATCATTAATTTTAAAACTATTCTAACAAAGTTTTGGTTTTAAATAATAGAATCATAATAAGCTACATGTACTTACCTAACAAGGCTAGAAAAAGTCTACTTTTGAAAATTCTGATAACACGTTCAATAGCATTTCTCAGTTGCTTATCTTGAGGACTTGTTAGTTTACAATGATATTCTTCTAACAGCTCCAAAGCCTGATGGGCTTCTGAAAAATTCAATCAGTACATGTATTTAGTTAAATACTGAACACTCCATTTATGTATCAAGACAATAACAATAAACTGTATAAAATATACAACTCTAATAAAAAAAAATAATAATGACCTACAGTATTGCAAAGAGTGGAAGTAAAAAAATCATACGGTAGAAAAATAGTATAGAACAGACGAAGAAACCCACTCAACACCTTTGAGAAAAAGAGCTTATCAGAAAGGAAACTCATTAATTTTTGACTATCTGTCCAACCACATAATAGCACAAACATTAAAATAAAAAGTCAAAGGTAAATATGGGTCACTTTTCTTCCAATATGCTGGTACCTTCCTATGCCTCTCATTACACATTTGCAGTAACAAAAAACACATGTACACATTGTAAAAAATCTTAATGAATAACCCAAAAAACTAACCTACAGTATGAATAATTAGGATTCATTATAAAAATAGTACTGGTTGCTACTTTACTAGAGTGGTAGTAGTTTATGTGTAAACTGTTTTTAAATTCAACACCTGTCCAAATTAAAAGTGAGTTTAAAATTAGCATTTGAGTAGTTTGAAGTTTATAGTAAAATTAAATTCAAATTACTTTGTTATGAATTGATTTCTGACACTAAGCACTGACCTTCATCAATTTTACATTAATTATCGTTAAGTTGTAACTAGATTTTGTTATACATATCTTAAATGCTATCTTGAAAGTTGTGTAAATTGCCAGTTTAGTATAGTTTTTAATTTATAGTTGATGGAAAACTGAAGCTTTGAAGTAAGATGAATGGCTATTATTTTTCCTTTCTCACAGTCTAGTCATATACTAGAAAACTGTACCTTGCCCTGACAAGTGCACAGTAGTAGATGATTCTAAGAAATGCATGGTAGTAACCTTACTATAGATAGCTACAAGAATATAGTACCTTGCTCAGACAAGGTTTGCAGAATGTGGACAGTAAGAGGTAATTGTAAGAAATTCTAACCTTTATTATCAAAATATTTGGATACTGGTGTGTGTATATTATTGTCTATCAAAGTTTGAATCTATACTTAAAAGAACTTAACTGTCAATAACAAAACAACACCAGCAGAGAACTCTTAGTTGATATATTTAGAAGTGTTCTTTACGTTTCTCATACCTCATGGCACTGTCGTTCAGATTATTAATTTCTTTACTTCAAACTCTGTATGAATAACATAAGCTTAAGTTTTCCTTCTAGTATTCATACACCTAGTGTTCAATACACCCAAACATTTTGTCTATTATTGTTGGAAATAATTTTACTTCTAAGAAAGATAAAGTTTTTGTATCAGCACAGATCTCTGTAGTATAGTGATCCTTTTTGACAGGAGATATGGCTTATTGTGTCTCATGTAAATGCATTTACGAGAATGTCACATAATAACAATCATAACTATTACATACCATTAAAGCAATTTTGTGATAATAATTGAAGTACTATGATAAATCAGTTATAGAAAAAGTATAATTCTAAACAAACTAATTACAATTACTACAACCACAACAGAATCAAAGCCAACACCAGAATGAGTAGAGTGCCTTCCTGTGTGATCTCCAAATACACATACAACTAATGTTTTTTATATTACTGTCACTCTTACCTCAACTTGAGACTTTCTATATCTTCTAAAAAGGGTCACATAAGTTTAAACAAAAATATACTGTTTCACAATACTTAGAAGACTAAAAAAAGTTAAAACCTAATATTGCATTCCAAGTTGAACTATCAAAGAATAACATTTAAAGGTTAAGTGAAACAGAGTAAATTAAATACCCTTTATGGATTTATTTTATTTATTAATGTGTGGGTTTTACAGCCTCTGATCATCCTAAATGATACAAATATATGGATGGTTTGAAAAGAATTTATTGGCTACTTGATAATAGAAAATATTCTAAAAAATCTGGTAGAAGTTATAATATAATTCAATATTTTATAGGAAAAATGGATTAAATAACTGATCTTCCTATACATGACTTGTACATTATTTTGATTATTTTTTTGTGAAATATCTTAATAATTCATAATCTGGAAATAATTTCATAAGTATAAAATACTGCATTAAAACTATTACAATGTTATTATGTACTACAATGATAGAAAGAAACTAAATAGAAAAACAAAGGGAGCATGCACAGTACATATGTTTAGCCAAATGCTGCAAACAGATCTCATTCAGTGTGCTTGGTTCTGTAAAATGTTTTATCCTGGAGAAGACTGTGACTGAACTAATATACCAGCAAAACCTAATAGGTTATATCCTATAGCACAGTTTAAGATCTGTGCTTACAGAATAGGAAGTCCCATTTTTTTTTGTCAAGGTTAGTATCCTATACTATCATCTAATTCTAATTACTAATTAGTTGCCAATCTTTCTGTTTATACATAATCTTGTTTATTAAATACTAATTTAATAATTAGCTTATATCTTATGTTCAAGTTTCTAATCTGGTGCCATCTTCAAAGATATTCTAAAAGGACTGTCTAAAAAATGTCTAAATGAAAAGATCCATGTCTTCAATTTCTATAGTAAGTTAGAGTTGTTAATTGTCTAGTTACAAACCTAAGAAATCCATGAAAATTACAAAAAGGCAACGGAATAAATGAGACAAATTGTGGGACCCAAAACTGGATTGACTAACTGGAAGCCACTAAAGCAAAACTTGTGTATGGCATGCACTTCTGACAAGACAAGTCTTCTGGAATGGAGTAAATCTCAAAAACAGTATTAGAAATATTGCAATTGTTTTCAAAGCTGCTCATGTCTGTAGATAGAAAGTGTACAGAGATTGATAATGTCTGAGCCAAGGTCTATATATATAGTGCTGATTTTCCTGTTCTCATGTATAGTGATTGTTATCTTCCTAATTTTCCAAGTTTTCAGCCTCATCAATGGCTTTACTTGTACAATTATTCATGTCAATTAGGTTACCAGTGGCAACAACTGACTCTGCTATCACTGAACTATCAGTTTTTATTAGCCATGTTGAATATTTATATCCTTTCAAATGTTTCCAGAAATTCTGATTGTGGGTTGCTGATAATAAAATTTTATATTAGAAATTTCTTATAAAAATGTCACTATTTATTCCTGAGAGTGATGAGCCCATGACTAAATGTATGGTATATTCACAAAAGGATTCTTTACACTAGAAGTATGTTTTCATGGTGCAAAGAATCAGAAGTGCTACGATATAGTCCACTGACAGCATAGTTTGTTTGCTGTAAAGTTATTGGTTTCTTGTCAAGGCTATAGCTTCTTGAGTTGGTGTGATGAAAAACATGTTCGTGATATCAACACCAATTGTGATTGAGTATGGAAAATGGTTAGTTGAAAGATTTTGATTTAAAAACTAGTCACGTAACATTCTTCTAGATTAGACCCTCACACTTGAAATTATCCTCATTAAACAGTTTGCAATCTTGTGGTTTTAGAAGTTGGTAGCACAAACTACACTTTATGAGTCTTAAAGGAATGTCCAGTTGGAGAACCTTTGATAAATTACAAATACCAGAAACACAAGTTTTGGAGGTTTGAGAGATTTAGCTTCTTTATAGAACATATCTTTACATTTTCATAATTTTTTTTTGCTTGTTGACCTCTGTAGTGGGGTCTTTTATTATTGCATTTCTCATTAATAATGAGATCTTATAGTTTGTTGCTGTATAACAGTCTTGTATGAGTAGAACTGTTAGGTTTCTTTTACCTACTGGTAAGATGGAAATTAACTGGTCATTCTTGAATCGGTATAGGGCTTTCTTCTCTTTAATAGTAACATTCAAAAGAGATGATCGGTTATGGGTTAAGATGTTGCAAAACAATATCATAGTTCATTTCCTAGTTTAGCAGGTAGCTTTGATGCACCCTTTTTGACGATGGCTACAAATTCCTCAATATATGTGAGCATAGGGTTAACTGCAAATTTTAGTTCTAATAACATGGCTTGCATTTCATTACTTGAAAGCTTACAGAGCTGAGTTTAGTTACATTGGTATTATTAAGAGAAAGTATTTTGTTCTCTTCTATAAGTTGATAATATTTCTAGATCTGTATGGTTTTCTTAGTTGTTCTTGCCCTTGTACCTATGCAAAGGTGTAAAAACAATTGCTGGGAATTTTCAGTCTGTACAACAAGGATCAGTTGATGTTGGTCTTTACCATGCTTACTTGTGCTTATTACTTTTCTTGTGACATTTGGTTATCATTACTTTTATCAGCTTTCTAGAAGTGTTCTTAAGAATGTTATCTATGTTGATAGAAGGGATTAGAGATGTAAACTTGATTCATAAACAGTCAGGGATAGCCATCTGAGCTTTACGTAATGAGAAAGTAAAACACCATGATTGTTAAGTCTGACTAATTGGTTAAGAAGGGGTTCAAGGAGTTGAACTGACTGATTATAGCTCGACTATCAAGGCTTCAAAAATGTTCTTTAATAGATTTCAGAGGCAGTCTATTTGGAAAAGGTTAAATTTGAATAATATTTTGGCACTCTTGCAATTGCCTTCATCAGACTGGGGGGGGGGGACCTTGTAACTAATTAGTCTTTACTTTTGTGGTAAAAACTGAGTTAACTAAGAGTCTTAATCTAGTTGGTTGCCAAATGTAGCTCCGTGGTAGATTTCTTTAGGTCAAAAGACCTAGAAACATTTTATATCTAAACTATGATCTCTGTTTAATACTGGTTTTGTGATTCTTTTTTCTCTCTGATTTTCCAGTTGGCAGACTGTATATTCAGAAGTACATACCATAAATCAACCTCTGCTTATGAAATTTACCAAAAAACTAAACTAGTATAGCTTTTGATATTTTAGAACTTTAAGAGGAATCAAAAGTGGGAACATATGTGGGAAAGAATCAAGTACTTTTGGCTCATACATCTATAGCTTGTTTTTCCAATTTCAGAAAAGGTTAATCAATATAAGGAAAGGTTATAGACTGATTTAAGTACTCCAACTATTCTAGGTCTGACACGTGTATAAATCATTAGTGACAAAGTTAAGTAAAATAATAACATAAAAGTGGATGACAGAAAGCCAATTCACAAATTAAGTTACCCCATTTAACCTTCTATGAAAGAACCCAAATTAAAACTATCCTGATACCCTTCTACCAATGTATCATGGAAAACGAGGTAATTACATAACAACAAACCTGTACCTAGTCATCCAAAACATGATACCCTAGGTATAGGTTATCTCTAAAATTGTTGTGAAAATGTAGTAGAATTAATAATTATTTATACAAAAAAGTTAGTTATATACTAGTCATAACTGGCCAGAATAATAATTCATTTTCATACACAAATATGAGACTGCACAATCACATCAAGTTAGCATTACATTTTTTTTTTTATCTAAACAATCATTCATTATAAAACAAAACTAAAATATTTCACAAATTTGAAACTCTCCTTATACAAACCATGTTACCAAAAGACTAACAAAACTTAATGCAGATAATACCTAGTAATCCTCATCCATTACAAAAGATCCTTAAAAGCAACTATAACATGCCAGTGACATAAAAACCTAAAAAATTCAAACTAATTAATGAATACCTTATATTCAAAATATTTTATGTTTTAACACTTACATATACAAGCTATAATGCATTTCTTAAATACACATTTCTATTCTTTATGGGAAAAACAAAAAAAAAGAAAACTCTATTTAATTTTTTGAAAGTTTATACTGTCAGTTTCAGTTTGTATTTTAGTGAATGCTTCTGAAGAAAGTGTAAAGTGAAACATTGAGTGTCTAATTAAATAAAAACAACATTTTGGTGTTATAAGGTCGTTAATTTCTAGTATTAAAATAAAATGGAAGAATATGACAGACTAGCCTTAATTTCAGTTTAATTAAACCTAAGCAACTGAAAGTTCATTTTGACAGGTATTATATGTAAATTACTAATAATATTTTGAAAGTATTACTTTATTACTACATTATGAATGAACTAGTAAAAAGGTGTTAGTGCTGATGTTATCAATTGCTAACAAACATCATAACATTTATTTTTTTACAAATATTATGGTTTTACACTCTAACATACCTGGAGTAAAAATAATAGCCAATATCATTAACAAATAAACCTCAGTTATTCTATTTACTTCAATTTCAAATAAACTAAAGTATTTTGCATTTTCGATTAAGTGTTTACCTTTCTTTATCGTACTGTAATTTGTAAAGTGTAATATGGGCAATACAAACTAAATGTAACATTAACTTATGATTAAGAGTTATAACAAACTAAGAACTATTGGATGATTGTTACATTATATCTCATTAATAATAAAAATACAGTAATCTAGAAGCTTTGAATATTATCCAGATTCCTATGTTTCTTATTTTTAGGCCTAATTTCCTTATGTTGTGTGACTTATTAATATTAATAAATAAGTAATTAATATTCCTAAGTTACTCCTCCTGCAGATTTCTGTGGCTCTAACTGTGGTTGTGGTTCAGCTAACTGTTAGCATTTAAGTTTTTGATTTAATATCTATATAAGCTAATGTGAGCTTAACTTTCTTAAGTTAATAATTAATTTATCTTACCACCTTGTCTACGCACAGGCATTTCAAATGCCAACTCTGGAAACACGGTGTACAGATGGTGAGATAGCAAAGACTTTTCACCACCGGAAGTCACCGTTGATCTCGACCCTTTTCGATAAGTTTCGCCTGTAAAGGTTCAGGCTAACGTTAACGTCCTAAAAATATATCTTCCGAGACGAGTTCCTTTAATTTCTAATGATAAATACTGACACTAATGTTATATTAATAAGAGAAATCATAAATAATTCCAAAATTTTTTATAGAAGCTCTAAAACTTCATATCTAACAATTTAATACATTATTTAATTCTTTATAAACACTGTTACATTCCTTTTACAAACAGAAAACGCATGTAAAACTCAAATAGAACTAGGCTAAGCTATGGTGCAGTCGCAACAATCCATCGGGGAAATCAATATGGCGGCAATTTGTTCCCCCCCCCCTTATCACGTGATTTTTACAACCACTTAGAATAACATGCACCATCGGTGAACAATTCTATTTGATAATCTATTCAACGCGGGAACAACAATGCGTTCTGATCTGGCTTATTAGTGGTTGTTCATCGGGTCTATTATATGTCTAGAATCCACCCACATGTCACTTGACACTTGGTAACTTGCATAATCAGCTATTTTGTGAAATGAATTCACTGATAATAATTCGATGACGAGGAACCCACTTTGAGACTAATAATATTTGGAGACGGCTTGAATGGGTAATGAAGGAAAACTTGGTACCTAATGATGATAAAACCTTGTCGAAACGTTGTACATTTGATGTTATGTTAAACTTATATTAAAGTTTTTCTTCATTACCCATCAAAGCCGTCTCCAAGCATTATCACCAATAATAAATAGTAATGTTTTAAAAACACCTTTAAGTCACAAATATTTTTATTATTATAGATGTACGAATGCAACGTTGTATTTAGAATTAATTGAAAAAAATATGAATAAAACCTTCATAATTCGAAAATGTGTTAAAATTTCTCAGTTGTTTATACACAAAGTCCCTAAAGACTACATATGTTGTTCTTTCTTTACAGTCTAATATTTCGTTTCACTTTTCAAAGTTTTTAAAAATCGCTGCGAAAAGAGGAAGACAATGGCGATGACCCCACTAGTTCCTTGTTTATAAAGAATAGCTTTAAAATGCAATGCCACTTTAATAATGTTCATTCAAGTATAACATCAGAAAAATTTGTTTGAATCATGTACAAATCGTATTAAGTTGTATGATTTACTAAACCAACTAAGCTTTAATATAATCATTGCAATAAGATATCTGAAAAATTCACCCAGTAAATATTTCATAAGCATATACACCCAGATATTTTGAGTGTTTTAGTTAGGCATGGTTTAAGGCAGGGTTTCCCAACCTTTTTGCTCTTTCGGAGCACTTTTAACTGAAAACATTATTTTGCGGAGCAATATCATCTGTAAATTTTTAAACAAACCTTATGGATTAGGAAAAGTAAAAAAGAAATGCATAAAAAACAATGAGCTTTATTGAATAATTTCAAAGAAAAAAAGAAATATTTTTGGCACATCTTAGTGGCTCACTTGCGATTGCTTCATACTGCAAATTTTTCAATATCAGGAGTTATTGGTGTTATCTGTGATCATTTTCTATGTTCAATCTATTTCTAAATTTGGTTTTGGTAGCAGCATATAACGAAAAAGATTTTTCACAAACTTCAATGCCTTGATCGTGATTTCTCTGTATTCCGTATATATCTTAATCCAAAAATCAGCAATTTCCTCTACTTGAAAGAAAGTTAATAATGTAGAGTTGGTGGAAATTTCTATAAGTTGTTCTTTTTCTTTCAAAGACAATTCATCTGTATTCACAGAATCAGTGAAGGGATTTTGAATTCAAAAGGAAAGTATTCAACAATGGTTGCTCTCATATCAGATAAATGTTGCACGACAGAATCTTTTACGTCTTTATCCAGAGAAATTCCATTAACAAGTAAAAATTCACAAAGGTTATCAAAGCAATCATAATTCCCCCCCCAAAAAAAACACACTCACTCCAAAGTTTTAGCTTGCGCTGAAGTGCATTAATTCTACTCTGAGCTTTGAAATATGTTACATTTTTTCCCTGCAATGCAACGTTTATTTCATTCAGATATGAGAATATATCTGAAAGGTAAGCCAATCCCTGCAGCCAACATGTATCACTTAATTTGTAAGAAAGCTCAAATGGATCTTGGGACAAAAAAAAACGTAATCTCCTCACGCAACTCGTAGAATCTAGCTAAAAACTTTGCCTCGAGACAGCCAACGAATCTCTGTATGCAGCAACAAAGTTGTATGGATGCTTCCCAAATCATTACATAATAAACAAAAAATTCTTGAATTAAGTGGTCTTTATTTTATGAAATAAATTATTTTAGTTACATCACTAATTACTTCTTTCAAATTTAAGGTATGCGCTTCATGGCAAGTGCATGCCGATGCAGAAAGCAATGGATACTTTCAATTTTCGGGTTTTCTTTCTTCATGCGTGCTACAGCTCCTAAAATTTTTCCTATCATAGCAGCAGCTCCATCAGTGCATATGCTTGAACATTATTTCCATGAAATTCTATGGTCTTTCATAAAAAATCAACCAACTTAAATATTTCTTCCCCTGTTGTGTGCGTAGCTAAAGGCTTACACAGTAAAATATCTTCTTCAATACGAGATTCATGCAAATAACGAACGAACACTAGTAAAATGGCCAAGCCTGTAACATCAATGGATTCATCCATTTGGAGAGAAAAAGTTAGACTCAGCTTTACTCGCCTTATTAATTCATTTTCTTGAAACACTAGCATGTTTTCAAGACGCCTAAAAACTGTATTATTTGAAAGAGGCATTAATGTTTTGAAGGTATTATTAATAAATCATACATTCCACAAAATTTTTGACAGAAGGCTTGATTAAATGTTCGGCTATGGTATGGGATTCACCTTCTTTAGCTATAAGGTAGCTAATGCGATATGAAGTAATAACAGCTCTTTTGTTGTCTTTATAAATAAATGAATGAAACTTAGTTTTTATTTCATCCATTTCTAAGCACTTCCTTTTAAAATATTCACTGGTTTTATTTTTCAAGTGAGAATGATTGGTTTCTAAATGTCGTTTGAGTTTTGCCGGAAAGAGACTACTATTCTTCAGCACCTTTCCACGTTCAACACAAAGACCGCTTGGTTCTTCTTTATCACCAGTCAATGTAAAACCATAGTTTATAAAGCTATCGTCATATTTTCTTTTTACTTTTTTTATGATACTTTTATTATGCGTTCTTGGTACTTTGTCACATGGCAATGATGTCGACGATCTCGCCATACTTTCCTCATCTTTCTCACTTAAGCCTACTTCGTCAGAACTTCCAGAAGCTACGCTGCCTTCACTAGACTTGTTACAAGTTTTCAGCCATTTATCCATTTTATGGGTGAATTAAATCAATTTTATATTTGGAATAATGGCACTGTTCAAGAAATAAAATAAATGAAAAGCAAGGTGAGACAAAGATTTCCCAAAATGTTAAATTGCACAAATAGGTAGGTAAATCCGGCCGGAATTACGACGTCAACAGCACTGGAGATTTGTGGCTAGTGGTCAACTCTTGTTCCATGGTTCAGGCAGTTGATAGTCTGCACAGCAGGGTTGCCAATTTACTTTATTTACATCTAGCGGCAATGTTTTTTCATAATTAACCCTTTATAGGGATTTAGCCTATACATATTTTCATTTTAGCGAATAACAAGTTTAAAATTAACATGTAAATATAGGAATTAGCTTAATTTTTTTTAAAAATTAGCTCCAAGGTCTAAATAAAAGTTAGCAACACTGACATACAGGTTTTCATGCGCATATGCAGAAGAAACAAAAAACGAGAAAAAAGTTACAATTGAGGGTTTAAATAAGTAAAAATAAATGAGAATTTCAAATACAGCTACAATTAGAGGATGATTAGTACAAAAAAAAAGCATTCTCACTGATTATTTACAAGCCTTTGAGCCATTTCTACGATGTTATTTTTGCAGTACAATTCTCATAATAATTAAGAAAGTTTCAATATGCGTTTGTTTGTTTGTAATTAAGCACAAAGCTACACAATGGGCTATCTGTGCCACGCCCACCACGAGTATCGAAACCCGGATTCTAGCGTTGTAAGTCCGCAGACATTCCGCTGCGCCACTGGGGGGGGGGGGCTTCAGTATGCGTCGCGGAGCATTAAAATGTGCTTTGCGGAGCACTACTGCTCCGCGGATCATGGTTTGGGAAACCATGGTTTAAGGTCTAAGGTTGACCGCATTATACAAGTATACAGACTAAAGATTACTGTCATTTGTTCTCCTCAAACACTCCATTAAAAAAAATACATTTAATATTAATCTACAATAAAATGGTTTAAAAGAAGAAGAAAAAAAGAGAATTGGGCATCGTTTGGCCAAGTAACCTTCATTCGGAACCTTAAAGTGAACCGTTTTTGTTAATTTTAATATATTGCAATCTGAGTTTGTATTTTACCACGCCACGCAAAGATTCGTTTGTTTATTATTTGAATTATTAAATTAAGTAATTAATCACACACACATATACACGTATGATTTGATTAATTTAATCCATGCTTCACCTTATGATATACAGTTATGATTAAAATAAACTGTGTAATTCAACGCATTGTGCATATAATAGAAAACACATTTTTACTAGCACTTCATACAAGATAACACATCTGTAAAAGTTACTTCACTTACCGTTAAACTTACCGTTCATTAATTATTACGCTATCGCAGTTTTTTTTTGTTATTATTCACATGTCAACTCTCTAGAATATTTCATCATATTATAACTTTTAACTGTTTCACATAAGCATGATGATATTATTTAATCTTTTTTTACATTCTTCCCCCAAGCACATTTTTGTTTAATGCCATCGAACTAACAGAAATTGGTTTATACACGTCCTTAAGTCACCTAGATATGTGAAATTTCTCATATTAACTTTAAACTCTACATAAATGCACTAGTACAGTGACAACAAGGAATCTCTAGGGAATTCACATTAGTGCATTTCATTCGCAGAAAGATTTGGGAGTGAGAACAAAATGCCTGTTTTTAACGCAATTGATAATTGCTAAGCAGGACTTGTGCATTTTCATTAAAAAGAAAAAAATACTAAATAGTATATCACACTGATTAAATTGTTTCTTTACAATCAAACATGTTTATAGCATATTAACTTTATAGACTTACATTCTATTGCATACTAAAATATAAATTTATATATAGTCTTATTTTTCAGCAGAAATAAATAGCATCATACCATACATGAAAGTTAAAAAGAGATAAAAACACAAACAAAAAATAAACAG